GGGGTTTCTAAAATCGTTTGAAACAAAACCTGACCCATGGTCGACTCTAATAGACTTCGGAAATACATGAAGGTGACAAAATTCTGTCATGAATGATAAAATCGAAGAAGCCGAGGTGTTATTCACTACCTTTGCTGACGGGAACTTTGAGAAGCGGTCGATGCATAGTAAAAGGTGTTTTGAGTTGCCCCAATTTTTGTCCAAAGGACCCGCAAAGTCTAAGTCTACTTCTTCTTTGGTTCAGAAAGGATCGGTAACTTCTCCGTATTGTTCGTACACAAAATCACTTTCAAATTCTTACCAGACTTGATGAACTGGATACAGTTTTTTCCATGATAATAAATCGATCTGTGTAAATGTGGCCACCAAATGTTTTCTGCCAGAGATTTCATTCCGAACTGCCCTGTGTGAGTTTTATGGAGTAGCGACAAAAATGGCGACCTCAGAGCTGCTGGCACTATCAGTTTGTTATGTTTAAAGAACAATCCTTCTTTCACATGGATGTCTCTTTGGAAATTCTTTAGGTAAGCTCCGAATCGATCCAATGGTCTGCTTTCTTTTACTGCCTTCTTCAAATCCTTGAGAATTTTGTACTCGTCTATCATGAGTCTAATTAGTTTGTTCGAGCAAAGTTCGGTGAGGGATAAAGGAGTGAGGGATAAAGGATGTCCGACATTATGTCGTTGTTAAAGTTCAGTAAATTTCCTTTATTTTCCGCCCTGAGCGAAATTTTTAGCGAGTTCACAGACGTGAGAAATTCTTCTAATAGCTTTTTGTGTTGTGTTCGGAGTTTAGGGATTGGTTAACTGATAGTAGTGACTGCGCAAGAAAAAATAAGTAAGTTTTGTCTGACAGATAAAAGTAATTGAAATCGAATTTTGAATGATTTAATGGGATACAACCGCTTGTACAGGACTCTGAACGCGAGTGATTGGAATTACAAGTTCTAATTGTGTCGTTGACGTAATTCAGAATATTCGAGAAGAACGAGCGTTGGATGCGTAGCGTTAGTTTTTTCTTTCCGCCCATTGGATTATTGCAATCCAAGTTAATAATAGTATTTACATCCACTGGAATGTACAATTCGTTCTTCGTAATCTCGACAGCAGATCTGTAAATTTCCTTTCTTTTCCTGGTATGTGTTTGATCTTGAAGTTAAATGGTAAAAGTCGATTTACCCAACGAGTAAGTATGCTCTGCATAGTTTTGTTACTTTGATTGGCCTTTAAGGCTAAGAACAATGCCTTGTGATCCGTTACGATTTCAGACTCAGCGCCATACAAAAAAATTTTAAAATGCTCCCAGCATTTCTATTTTGTTTGCAGAATATTTCATTTCATTTTTTTTTTAAATTGAGAAGCGAAAGCTATTGTTAACCAATTTTCCCCATCCCGTTGTCCTAAATTGGCTCCCAGGCCGCTATGTGAAGCGTCTGTTTTCGATCTTGACATCCTTTTTATGTCAAACGGATTGTTCTCTGTAATGTTGACGATCTGTTTCTTTAATTATTCGAACGCTTTCGTATGATCGTCGTTCCATTGGTAAATTGATTTTTTTTTATTAAAAGTGGTCGTAAGGGGGAACTTAGAGTTGACAGGCTCGGGACTAACTTCATATATTGGTTGATTGAGCCAAAGAATGACCTGAATTTGGATATGTTTTTGGGGTTTGGGAGACTTTTTATAGAATTTGATTTTCCCATCAATGGTTTCACGCCCGAGTGTGATATCTTGAAACCCAGCCACTCATTTTCTTTTTGGAAAAATGCACATTTCTCCCATTTTACTGCCATGTTATTGTTGTCCAGCATGTTTAAAGTTTTTGTTAATATCGCTTTGTGTTCATTTAGTGATCCTTTTGAAGCTATTAAAATGTCGTCGGTGTAAAAATTGGTAAAAGAAATGTCTTTCATTAAAGAATCCATCACCCTCTGGAATTCGTTTGGCATATCGCCTAGTCCGTAAAATCGCGTTAAAAGTCTATAGGTCCCGGTGGTTTCACCACCTACCTTACTAAAATTGCATTGTTTGCTAGTGTCTTTACATAATTGTAGTTGACTGTACGCATTTTTTAGATCTGAATTACTAAACCAGACTTCCCCTGAGTCTTTGATGGAAAGTTGGAGAGCTATGTTGTCGATAAGCTCGTGTATGTTTGGCATTTGGTATTTGTTCTTGAATATCTGGTTATTTAAGAGTTTCGAATCTAATGCCAACTTGATACTACCGTCTTTTTCTCTTGTTATCACTATTGGACTAATAAAACAGTCTTCATCGCATTTGCTTAATTTCACAATATGCCCCTCTTTTTCCATTCTTTTCGATTCCACATTTGCACTATCTAGTAAACGCAGAGGAACTCTTCTGCCTTTTGTTTGAATGGGTTTGAATGGAGAATGGAAATGAGTGATTTTTCTGTCCAATGGTATTTTCCCTATTCTGTTAAATAATCCTTTGTACTTATGATACAGATTAAGAGTTGTGTCTGAATGATTGTTTAACTTACACAAATCCGGGACTGTTACGTTGTTGACGGGTAGTAAAGGCTGTCGTTGGGCTATTTCGATTCCGATTTGTGGTAAATTATCGTTAACCAAGATATTCCTCTCATGTGCAGAAGTGATAAAAAAGGGAGTTTCATCCGCGATCCATCTATTGGATTGTATTCTAACTACAATTTTCCCGATGATGTTAATTGTATCATTGGTAAACCCGCAGTATAATTCCCGAGTCTTCTTGTCTACTGGTTGTATTTTCAATTGTGGGTTCCTCAATTTCATTTTGTGCAGGACGTTCTGCTGTAGGAAGCTCACTGGGCTCGCAGAATCCACTGGAATGTTCAAATTAACTATCGCATCGTCTCCCAGTCAGATCCTAACTAATTTCTTGGTTTCCATACCAATGGTGTCGTAGATGGTTCTGATGTTAAGAACGAAATATTCGTCGTTGTCGCTGATCCCCTCTTCTGTCCACGCGTTAATCACACCACAGAAATTTCCTTCAATTCTTGCTAGAAGGTCTTCTGGGGAGTATGAACAATTCTGACTAATTACAGATTCTTCTACAGTATTTACAGCGGGTTTTCTTCCTTTCGATTTACACAGTCTTCCCAAATGTCCTTTATATTTAGAAATATTAGGATTATTTCCTTCGCCGGACACACATTCAGATGACCCTTGGTAAACGCATTCCCGCATTTCATACAAGAATTAGATCTTTCTATGTTGAAGCTTGGTTCCTTTTTTACATAATTAAAATTTTTGTAAACTCTGCCGCTACTTCCTGTCGTGTTGAATAATCTAATCATATTTGTTAATTTCAGATGGTTGTAGTAGCCTTTTTCATCGATGCTGGCTTAGTTGAGTGCATCCACTGAATTATGAGTTTCCGACAGTAATCTTTATTGTAAGTCACAGTTTTTCATGTTAAAATTAAATACATCTCTGATCCACTCCTGTTCAGCGTTGATTCCAATTTCGCATGATCTTGCTAAACCTGATAGCGCCCCAAAATTTTTCATAGGATTGCCTATCTTTTTGCTTTCTGCTTAGCAGTTTATATCTTTCAAACATAATATTTGTCGGTTGGATAAAAGCAGCTTCTAGTAGTTCGAAAAATTCTTTGAAAGAGATTCCTAGGACTTTCACCCTTGGGTGTTTTTGAGCAAAGACTCTCTTTTCCTTCCGCTCCTAAGGTCAAATATAAGATTGATCTTACTATTTTGTCGGCCTCAGATCTCCTCATTCCTCCAATTTTTCGTTTCTCTTCTGCTAGTCTTTTATTTTCCGCGTGCTCGTAGACTCGCATGGTCTCTTCATTTCTGGCCTCCCTAGCTTACCTCTGTGGGTCAGTTTCTGGCTCCTAAGCGCCTTCCAGGACTGGTATCGTTGTCTCCCCTTCCAATGGTTCCTTTAGATTATCTATATCTAGGTTTTCTTTAGCAATGAAAGTCAGATGAAATTGGTCTATCCAGTTGTTCCATTGGGTGGGGAAAGACTGTATGGAAAGAATATAGATAGAAATGCTGCTTGAGATCATAGTTTAAACAAATTCGCTGGTTTTTTCGCCTTCAAGGCCGATAACATCAATGTCATTATATCTAAATGGCTCAAACTAAACCGATTTGAATTGATATCTTAACAAAACCGGATAGAATCAGTTTAGATTGCTTCTAAATCCATTTAATTCCATCCTACTGTTTCTAAAAAGTTTCGTTTCAAGGAGAATTTACATTGACTTAGATCGACTCAAATAGTAATTATTTTGTTTTTTTAGTTTAAACAATCTATAATAGGAATTGTTTGCTTTTCATTTAAATTTTGCGCTGATAATTGATCCGAAAATTAAACCATAAGATCAACTAGTATGCAATTTTTTGCATCATAACTAACTGGTTCGAATTGCGTCAATCAACTCTTTTTAGTCGCTTTAGAAGTTTGATCCAAAAGTACTTATCTTAACATGAGAATGTAAAGGAATTTCATTGAAAAGTTTTTGTAGCAGTGGGAATCCTTGGATCGCGAAATTTTGAGGGGAGCCTCAGAAACTAATTTTTGATGTGAGCAACCCTTCTGTAAGTTACTGTTTGACTAACGGCGTATTTTTCAGTTCAAGGACAAAATTAAAACAAAATTAACTTAACTGCTGAGGACATTGATCTTCTCACATTTCAAAAAAATGCTTTAACTGATTCAAATGTATTTAAGTAACTACCAAGTTTCATCCAAATCAATTCAACTCGGGTTTTAGAAAATTTTTGGATGAAACGGTTTAAATCTGTTTGCTTGTAAATCATTCTGTGATTAAATGAATCTTTTTGCCTGTTATTTATGCGTCCTGGCATTTAGTGTCAGCGTTTTAGGTTTTAGATGGGTCGATACGACTCCAAGTTTTTTCATTTTAACAGTCCTGTCCTAAAACTTTAGAACAAAAAAACCTTGAAGAAAGCATTAGCATCAATCTTTACAAACTAATGTCAATTAAAAATTGTTGATTCGAATCTGATTCTCTGTCATGCCGAAGTTGATTGTTAAGCTCTCAACTTCAATTCAAGTCACAGTAACGAAGCCAAATTTAAAAAGTTACTCGAACAGACAAGAGCACACTGGGAGTTCTTAATTCAACAATAAATCGTTTCAAATTCATAAACTCACCAAACAACCTGAATCCGTAGAAAAAATTGGTTTGTTCATAATCCAAGAGCACAACGTGAATCCATGTTAACGTGTAACTTTTTCTTCGTAATACTCGGGCTGCTTATTCTTACGCAATTCGAGAGAGGCTTTGCAAGCACTCGATCTATGTGTGTATCGGAAAGTCCTACTACAGAAGAAACCACCATTGCCGTGGCTACCGCGACAGCTCCGTCGTTAACCGAGGTCCCCACTGCCGGTGAAAATGAGTTTTTCGCCAGCACGATAATGACTGAGCCACCGGAACGTCGCGTTGCCATCACAGTTCATGGCGTGACGACTTCTCTCACGAATTTGACCGTTTACGACGATGTCGGTTCTGCGACCCTTGTTGACATCGAGGCCGAGTGCCACTCAGATGTGTTCCAAGCGTGTGACAGCGTGACGTACCAAGACAACTTGGTGCCGAGCGATCCGGGATATCTTGAGGTGTCGGGACTCCAGTCGGGAACTGCATATGATATCACAGTTGTCAGTGCCACTCACGGCGGCAACTCGGACACTTCTTTGGACAGCACTGTTCGATTTTGCACCAGTAAGCATTGCCCGTAAAGGTGCCATTTGATTTTCTTACAAATCGGTGTAAATCATGAAAACTAGAAAGAGTAACTCATGAAATAGCAAGGAAAGAGGCAGGGGCCAATATAGTTGAACGTGATTCCCCTGATCAAGTGCATGGTCTCTCTCTCCCAGAGACGGCGGTATTTTTAGGGTGAGGTTCTCACTTGGTCCGAAAATATCGTAGTGCTTGAAAAGATCCCAGGTGATCAATAATTACAATTTGATTAAGTTTTTTTTATCATCCTCACCCCCACGCGTGCGGTAAACCACTGTGTTGCTTCTGTGATTTATTCTTAAATATTTGAAATAGAAAGTTTCACATGTGTCACCACAGATATTGTTAAATGAGTCCTAGAAAAAATTTCCTGATCTAGTTTTTTAAAAATCTTAAAAGACGAGTTTTTCAAACTCCTTCTCCATAGCAGATAGATTATACGTTAACAAAATTTTGCGTCAGAATGGATACGTCAACGCAATTTTTGTAAAAATACAGGCAATAACTAATAGATGCAGTTGTCATGAAGTTAAAAGAACCCGAGTCTTAGGACCAAAGCGAGTTAAGGTAGTGCGATCATTGGCAAACTCATTGTTTCCATTGGTTTAAACAAAACATACGATTACTATCATGACCACTGAAAACATTTTCGTCGGCCCTTTGTTTGAAACTATAACCAAAAACTTGAGTAAGGCAAACAAAAAACAAATCAATCTTGCTTCAAAATGAGCGGTTTGAGCGGTTTTTGAACGGTTTTTTAAGCAAGATTTGAGCGGTTTTTGAACGGTTTTTTAAGCAAGATTTGAGCGGTTTTTGAGCGGTTTTTTTAAGCAAGATTTGAGCGGTTCTTCCAAAAAAATCGCGCAGACCGCTCAAACCGCTCAAATCTTGCTGGAAAACCGCTCAAACCGCTCATATCTTGAGCGGTTTTTGAGCGGGATCTCGATCCAGGAATTGATTATTCAATTAGCCATCTGTTTTTGTTTAAATCGAAGAAAAGGTCTTTTAAAAAAAAGATACAAGACATTAGGGTTAGTGTCGCGAGAACGAATGCCTGTAGTTGATCCTAGGCAGAGTTGCTAGCGTCATCTGGCCCTATAATTTATCAGAAAAAAAATTGAGGCCAAATTCGATTTAATTTGATGTTGGAATCCAATTTAATTATTAATATAAAATGGATGCCGAGCTCAGAGCATCACGCTAAATGTCAACTCCAAATCTTTAACAGAATATTACTTTTTATTTTTCTCATTACTTCTATTATTTTGCATGATTTTTTTCTTCTTCCATTTCTATATTCATCTTTTGGTTATTCATTTGGGTGTTTTTCTTTTAAGAACCAAAGGTGAACTTTGTGGTGAGCAAGCTGAGCGACACCTCCGTCCAGATTGGTGGCACGGTGGAGGGGGGCAACTTCCACAGTGCGACTGCCACCTTCTCCCCCTCCGACAGCTGCTCAGTCACTTTCACCCCACTCATGCTGCCACTGCAGGTCGTGATGATAAACACGTGTTCTGTTATAGTGCCTCTATATTTATTTGTTATCCCTATTGTAGAAATAAATCAATCTGCCCACTGTATGTATACCAGCTGGAAGCTTAAAGTTCTTTCGCTCGCACAGTTTCTTCTTTAAGAAAGTATAGAGTCATCCAATATTCCCCATCCCTCATCATCCTCTCCCCCCTCACACTGCTAGTTAAAGTTATAAGTTATAAGTTCAAACAAAATAAGGATGCTTAAAAAATGTGCTCTTAACGGTTTGTCGCCTCCTGACTCCCGCGACATCTATGGCAGACTGTAGCTCAAAAAACGACATAAATAAATTACAGGTGACTGGTCTGACTTCTGGAACTACCTATGAGATCACGTTTGAGTCGCGAGTTTCGGCTGCCAGTTGTGGAGCAGGGGGATCTCAGTCGAGTGAAATGCAAGTGGTCGAGTACCAGCCAGGTAAGCCAACAACCCAGCCCGCTTCAATCGTTTATAAATGATAACAACAATTGATACGCTTTAGCACACGTTACGTTGGGGGCTCAGTTTTTTCTGTAATTTGATGCTCATTCTCAAAACCGTGTAACTCGAAGATGCCGTCTTCTTTTTTTTGAGCAAACAGATTTTTTTCTGAGCTCTCCAATGTTGCCACATACTAAAAAATGTTTAAAAAAGTAATCCTTGGGTATTTTTTGGAAAACATTCCACCAAAAATTGGGTTTTTTGGCGCGCATTTTGTGGCCAAAAATGAATATAGTTAAGATGGATGACCGCCCGTGAAGATTCTCAAAGCAACCATATGATTGCCAAAGATGAAATGTAAAACAATGTTTTCGTCCTTTGGTTCGCATTTTCTGACCCAAAAAATTGATTGCGTAATGAACGAGTAGCCGTGAAAATAAAAATAGATCACTGATTTTGACTGGTCATTTTTAAAGATCTCTATGCCGCTGTCTCTGTGTCTGTGGCTGAAAAAGACGACAGCGGTGCCAAGCTGTGGGTGGAGGGTGTGAACAGAAACAGCCGACACGTATTTGAGAACATAGTGACTGCGTGTGCTTCGCCTAATCACGGTAACTGCGCAGGAGCTCGAATCCAGCCAAATAGAAGGCCCGAGTCTCCGGGGTCCGTGGTACTGAGTCAGTTGCACTCTGGATCATCATACACAGTCACTGTTGAACAGTCCACTTTCGATGGAGCAGAGAACACCCTACACAACACAGCAGTCACTTTCTGCACAAGTAAGCCTGCGAAGCAGTCACTTTCTGCACAAGTAAGCCTGCAAATTCATTTATTTTACAGCGAAACTCTCAACTGACAGTATCAAAGAAGCAGCTTTCTAAACTAACTCGAAATTAGTTTAGCGGTTATTTTTATTATCATTGCAGTAAATAGAATTATCTAATTTTCTAGTAGCAATTGGCAAGCAAAAAAAGAAAATAGGTAACTTCAACCAATAGATAGTAATGTAGTGCTGAATGATTTCGAATGAACTCGGACAGTTTCTGACTTTTGCTTATCTGCTCTGTTACTCCGACCTTTGGAAAACTAGTTCTTGGAGGTGTTTAATCGTTCCACTGTCTAGTTCGAATGTTGCTGTCCAACCAGTCTTCCCAATAGCTTGATTACCTCTGCCATAATCTGATTTTCAGAACCAGCTGTTGGGCGTGATCAGGTGCATATATCCCACCTGGGTGACAATGTGTACAGGGCAACAGTGGACTCCGAAGTGGACTTTGATGACGTCATAGTGTCCATGATTCCCACCATCTATACCACCAGGCACTTTCAGAAAGTTAGTAAAGCCCAGTTTGAAAACAATTCAAATAAAAAAATCTGAAAGCTGCAACACTTCTGCGTTATTATAAGTTAGTTAGAAAGCGCCTCGAGATTTGATCGAAACATAAAGCGTTTTCGAAACCAAACAAAACTGCTCGTATCAGGGCGAAGTTCTGACTGTTTCGACTGATTTTTAAGGTCTATGGAGCAGTAAAAGCATGAAAAAACTAAATGTAGTAGAAAAAATGAAAGTTTTTTTTCAAGTTTGAGATTTTTTTGAATATCCTATATATAATTCAAAGTGATAAATTTTGCGCCTAGTAACAAATCAATTATGGCAAATAACCTTTGTTCAACCAATTTGGAACGATTTCTAAGACTGATTAAATCTCTGCTTACGCGTTAATAGCGCGAAATATATCGAGCGTTATTTGTCCCTATTTGGCCAAAATGACAATCTTTTAACCCCCTTAACTTTACAAAAAATGATCACATGGAAATATCTGTTCAAGTTTAAGCTCAGGACAACAATACTTTTTGAATAATATCAAAAAATTTGTCAAAATTTGCTATTTAAAAAGTCGAAATTTGTCTGAAGAAAAAAAAACCACCCGAGGACAAATATTCGTTACTTTCGTTACGGAAGTCGGAACAAAAATATGTTTTAAAAATGTTATTTGAAAATATTCCTTATTTGAGCAGCTGGTCTGAATTCAGGTTGTAGGCTGAAATTTTGAAGGGTTTGCTCAGATAAAATAGTTGGAATCTGTCGGTTGGTTAAAGTAAAATAATTCATATCGAATAGTTTTTGGGAAAAAAACTTTGAAAAGCTATACATTTTGAACAATATCGAAGTGTGGAATTTTGAGTCGTTCAAAATTGGTACGACCACCAATTAGCTAGCGTCAATTCAATTTGGAATGATTTTGTTGTGATGGATAGTTCGCCACGCATAAATAATTCGCATTACGCTTTCAGCATTATGAATAAACTCTTCAAAGCGCGCATAATTTAGTCCAGATTATCAAAAATTTGACAATTTTTAAACCCCCAGAGCTTTAAAAAAAATCGGAGGTAAAATATCTTTTTACATTTGAACCCAGGAAGTCAATATCTTCAATGCGGTACAAAAATTTTTTTTCGATTGGTGAAAACTGACTGATAAAAAACCACATCGAGCATAAATATTCCGTTTTCTTCGAAAGTCAGAACAAATAAATTCGAGCTGTATTTAAAATCACTTCATCCAAGAGTATAGACCTTCAGGTGGCCAGTCAATAAGCAGAATTGTCTTAGAGCAGAATGGGTCCACGAGCAGAAAAACAGAAAAAATATCAGCTTTTATTAGCTAATCTGTAAATTAATTATCCGAAATGTTAATAATACCAAAGCAAAGAACATTTTATGCATCATTTGAGTAAATTAATCAAGAATTTCTTTTAAAAAAAGGAAATCAAAAAACTTAATGAAATTAGTCAAATCATGCATAAGTTATTTTTATTCTTGTAAATTTTTGACGATTCTAACATTTGTTAATTCAATACTCCGTATAAACCAATATAAGTCAATACTTTTCTGTTTTTCTGCTCATGGACCCATTCTGCACTTGGACCATTCTGCTTATTGCTCCGCCTTCAGACCTTCATTACGCAGTAGGCATGCATGCTGATTAGTCCTCGTACAGTTAATTTTGGACATTACAATTACATGTATTTTATAGTGTAACCGGTGATTTTGAAAAGGCTGTAGATGATGAGCGGAAAAAAAACCGGTAGCTTTGTGATGCCTGGGTAAGCAAGAACATTTTTGTAGAGTTGGAATGTTGATAGTAGTTCAACAAATGTTTCATAGGAATTGACAGTGAATTGCTCGAAGAGAATTCAGTTGAATAATGATTTGTGAATTGTGAAGGGGGAGGAGCCGGAGGTGGACATCAGTGATCTGCCGGCGGGGGACTACCAGCTGGAGGCAATGTTCAGAGTGGGAATTCACAGGGACTGTGGATCTGCAGGAAACGGGGAAGCTGCTGTAGAGACCTCCGCAGTCTACTACACATACAAGCACAGAAGTACACATTATAACAATGATCATTTTAAATCATGTTTTCTGGCGGTAATAAACTATCCGACAACCCAGATTTGGTCACAGCTTTCCAAAGATCCCCTTTAGGCATTAAGTTGCGACAGGCATTTCTGGCTGACCAACCAAAAAATTGACTTAGGTTATCTATGACGCCTAAACTAATTTTCGGGGAGCGCGCGCCACAAAAAATGTTTTTGTCGAAACCTTCTTTAAGTGCTAAAACATCATTTAGTGAAAAATTGGCAACGGCGCAGTAAATTATTCCAAATTTGGTCTGTTTTTTCAAGTCAAACTATTTTTTGTGGTTTTCTTGCTAGTCATGATTGATAGAACAAAACTTTTCCCATTTTTATGCTTTCGGACTTTTGGTACATTAAAAATGATCAATTTTTTATCAGCAATGCGAATAAAGCTTAAAATGACGTCAAATGAAAAGACAATCACGTGAAGAAGTTTGAAAATTTCTTTTAGATTATGGTCTGACTTGCAATTACTTCTCAAGCAGCCATATTAGTGCAATTATGGCTTAGTTTTTAATACTTTCACTTTCTATACCAGAATTGAAAAATGAGACTTATGAACAATGAGGCCCACAATTACTATTTTAAAGAGCATTCTATCAATGTTTAGTCTATTTTATATTGATAGCAAAAAACTCGATCAAACAAAGTTCATTTAAAAGAGCAATTGACATATTTGGAAACAATTTTGCATGAAAAAGCTAACGTTTCCGACTAAATTCATGTTTGCAGGCTGAATTTTGCCTGAAACATCAAAAATGCATGCAACAATGAAAAGATAGCAGTTTTAATTATTTCTGTTTGTCTGAACTTTTGCAACTTCGTGGACGAATCTGAACGAAATTAATTAATCTAAAACTGCTCATTTGGACTTCGAATTTATGTGTTTCACTGATCTATACGCTAAAAATTCGTGAACAAAAAAAACTAATTAACCTAAAAAACTATAGTTTTCGACCGATTAAATCAATCAAGGTCACCGATATTGGCAACAGGCACGGACCTAGGATTTTTTCGAGGGGCGCGGGTGCGGATTTTCAAAAACACTTTGAAAATTTTAGTGTCGACCTTTTTTTTTAGGTCGACCAAATTGATTTTGTGACCTTTCCAAAACCACTATAAAGACCCAAATTTGACCAAATTTTCTGCGCCGGAAGCAAGTTTTTGAAAAAAAGGCCAAAAAAGTCGTTTTTAGTCACTTTTTGGAAAACTTTGACCAAAAGATTGCGTTTTTTCGGCACCAACTTCCCCCTCAAAATTTGTATAGATTGGCGCCAAAGGCGCCTTTAGAAAAATTTTAAGGTCAGTCAGCCAAAAATGGATATCTCAAAATAGTACAAAGAGGGGACCCTTTGGGTCGGCTGGGGGTCAAATCCCTGAGAGAGGGGGGCCTCCGCCCCCTCCTAAATCCGCTACTGATTGCCAATAATTTGGCATTAACTGTATAAAGAGCAATCTTCCAATTTCGAGCAAATTTTGCATGCCGCAATTGGAATTTTTTAGGAGAGTTTTTTAAAAGTCAACTTTCTGTGACTGGCTCAAATTTAAGCTGGCGATGTTAGGCAGATGCGTATTTAAGGGACGGGGCGGGGTTACGAAATAACCTTGATCGCATGATGGCCAATTTTGAATGCCCAGAATGACGTTTTTTACTTATTAGTTACTTATATACCTGATTAGTTTCAAAAAATAGTTTTCCTATTTTTCATTGTTGTATATCTCCCTATCGCGCAAATCTTTCAGTCTAACAACGGACCAATTTGGATCTAGAAGCTTATCATTGAAATTTCAAATTTAGTTAAATAAAATTAAAATTAAAAAAAATATATTTGAAATTTTTTTTGTGAAAACAACCCCCCAGACGCCATATTAAGTAGTAAGTGTCAGATTTTGCGCCTAATAACAAAGCAAAGATGTCATATAAGCTTCCTTGAATCAATTTGGAAGGATTTCTAATGCGGATTAAATCTCGCTTACGCGTTAATAGCGCGAAAAATATCGCGTGTTGATTGTCCCAAAG